TTTTTTTTTTTTTTTTTTTTTTTTTTTTTTTTTTTTTTTTTTTTCAGATAGACAAACGATTTTTCGCAAAAATACCGTAGCACAAGTAAATATCGATTAGAACAGGAGTGGCACGCATGTCATTACCTAAGCGTCCGAAGTATACGTAGATACACCGAAGAAATTAATTAAGAATCTGTTCGACCTTTGAAAACCAAACCGATCCAAGAGAGTAATTGGGTGACTTTTTTTTCAATTGAATATGTCAGACGAGGAGCCAGTTCCACAAGCCAAAGGAAATAATATAATGGAAGTAGAGGCGGGTGCAAGCAATATTGCAATCAAAGAAGAGCCAAAGGGTATGAAGGTGACAGCTTTGCGAAAAATGTCACCGGTTGCTAGTCGGGGCGAAGAAGCAGGAGGTGCCAAAAACCCTTGCCTCCCGGCGATGTCTTTCATTCTCATTTGTCAATTAACTTTTTGTTTTTTACACTTTGGTTAAGGTCCAAGTGACGAGGACGAGGATAACCATCCCTCATTGATGATGGACTGGATTTCCCAGACCGATCCTGGCGTAGTTGACGAAGTGATAAATAATCAAAAGGAAGCGCAAGCAATCGTTAAGGATATCCGAGTGGACAGGGAAATCATGCAAAAATTGGCAAACGTCAGTTCATGTGGATGATGTACTTTTTGGGTGTTTTTTACACGTATATGTATATAAAGTGGTTGGTTGGTGATGTTTATTAGAAAGAAGACCTGGTGGAACAGGACAGGCTTATGTTGAACGCGTCGATGGCGCGCTTGATGGCTAATATCAAGAAACTCAACGGCATCACCCGAACACTGGAACAACGCTTTGGTCTTATGAATCCGTAGACGTGAACTTTAATAAAAAATCCCTTGACAACAAATAATAATTGCAAAGTCGTGTGTTATAGTGCTGCGTGGCTTCCATGCTTCTATGTATTTTAACGTAATAATAAAACATCCAAAAGTTCCAAAAGAAAAAAAAAAGAATCCAAAAACAAGATTACTTATACTTGTATGAAAACAGTGGTACGTCATAAAATCGGGAAGCTATGTATACTTTCGGCGATATAGGAGAGAAAACAAAAGAAAGAAAAAAATGTATTTGTTACTCGTTGTGCGAGTGGTTGCTATCAAAAAACAAATAATATCGACAGTGGCAACAGAACCAACACGTACAATATATTATACGTAAGATTTCTCAAACACTTGGGTCATTGTGCGTTACACACATATATGTATATACATATAGGAAGATAATACATGCGAGACTTTGATAATCTGATGCAGCATAGAAGTGCATGTATACGTGTTTGCTCTCAGAGAACAACGGGAGAGGAAAGCATTTGAGCTGCTTTTGATAAAAGCGAGTGCGCGCTAGAGAAAGAGGGCACTTGATGAATATTGAATTGTAAATCAAAGTTCACCACATACATTGAGCTGAGAAAAAATTTTCAAAGTGATTAATATCTTCACTTTCTCCTTTCTTTAAATCTTTGGGACTTATATATGTACAATTTAAATATTAAATTACTGAATGTGGTACATGCATGTGGGTATGCATTTTTTTACGTATAGTAATTTTGTTCTTGTCTTGACGTGTAATATTTCGTAATATTTGCCATGTATTAAAAAGGTTTAGCAATTTATCTTCATAATGAATGGGACATGGCCCACAGCGATTTTTACATTTTACATTATACAAAAAAAAAAAAGTAAAATAAATTATCATATTAAATGACGCAAAAATCTAATTTTTTTTTAAAACTTTGCACAACACGTCGATGGACTCTAGTTTTTAGTACCTGGTGGCATATTTTAATTTTTTTGTATCATGCGCACGCAGGCAGGCATCAATCTTACAGGTCGTCTCGATAGCTTTTATATTTATACTTAATTGCACAATTTTTTTACATTATGCGCACGCACGCGGGCATACCTACATCTCGCACGTTGTCGCGAAAACTTTAGGATTTAATCATAGATTAATATGATGGACACACGAGCTCGATAACAGGATTTGAAATTTTTTACCTGCCCGTGGACTCTTGGACAACCGACGTCGTTCATATTTCGCGTTTCATTGGTTTTAATTATTTATCGATGAAAAATATATCTATAATAAGTGCGAAAAGTTTCAAAGGGCGATAATTTGAAGCGCTTGTTTTTTCTTGGGTATGAATAATTTACAAACTTTTTTCAAATATATTATTATTTTGCTATAAGCGTAATTTACTGTTTGTGCTAAGAAAAAATTTTTTAATAACTACTTACAACGCATACAGTGCTTGACAACATTTTTTCGAGTAAAAATGATGCACTATAATTTAAAAGAAAAAATAAATTACAATAATAAACAGGCAAAGTACTCGAAATAGTATTTAAGCTTTAATTTCGACTACTTTACAATAAATTTTCTAGTTTTTGGGAAATATACAGATTTTTTTCTAGTAGTGGAAATTATATCTGGTTCCCTATTGTCAGTCGTATAAGAACAAAATCTGTATTATTTAATTGCTATGTGATTTATTCCTCATAGAATATCTGGAATAACTTAAAAATGGGATGAACAAGAGTTCTCTAACAACCAGGTCATGCACGTACAAAATAGTTGTCCTCAAGACAATAATAATTCGCATAAACGTTTTAAATGTAGTAAACAATGAAATTAACAAAAAATATTATCATGAAGTATATTGTTACGTAAAAGCAAAAGAAGTAGAAAACAACAAAAGGATAATTTTCCATAGCGCCAGTTTGTCACATGAATATATGAATCTCTCCTTGCGAAATTGATGTCGAGGGAGCCAAGTTTTACATCGAAGCCTCTGTTTTCTCGCTCTCCTTGAACTTTGATACAGGAACAAAGTAGCTCACGAGATATCGTCGCTTGGAGCTTGTGTCAACGCATCGATTGTAAAACGAACGTATACTTACACGATAATTCAATTGTTGACTGTTTGCTTTGGAATTCCGCAATGCTTACGAGTCCATGCGTGACAAGTGCGACACAATTTAATAATAACCGGAAAATCTCGATTCGAGGCAATTGTAATAACCGAGTCCAAACTATCTATTGGTCGATTTCACCACCTCGTGAACATTTTAAAACGTATCGCATGTATTTTAAATCATTGTGCGTGTACAATTAAATAAAAAATTGCGTGCATATAAAACTCAAGTTTTATTACGAGTCCGTGTGACCTATGGTAGGAGATACTTTTTTCGCGACGTTCAAAAGAAAATTTTTCTCTCGTCAGTTTATGCTTGAGAATATAAATTATCAAAGTAAAAAAAAAAAAAAACTCTTACTCTACGATTAAATTCTTTAAAACGTAAGTACTAGCAGTGATTTTTCATTATTTTGAAAAAACACTCGGGTATTTCAAAAACACGTAAGTTTATTATTAATATTAATATCTTGTTATAAAAAAAATTAGAGTTTTTTTAACATCCTTAATTATGACCGTATGAGTATCGGTTACTCTTAAAATAATTCTTTTCGACTTCTTAAATCTTGTGATCCAGCCTGATGGCACACTTTTGTGATTCTCGCATTTATATTGGTATTGAGTGTTCGTTTACGCATGTCACGGAATAATTATTAATGCGCGTCACTTAAGACAAAACGAAACGATTTATGAGAAAGATGACTATTGGAATGGGAGCACGTGGTATGGATGTGGTAGGTGGTAACTTTACGACTTTTTACGTCGGAAAATGGTGAAGTGTCGTAGTAGAGGAGAAGATTAAAAAAAAAAAAGGTAAAATGCGGAAGTGAAAATGTCGATAGCGTGAAAAAAAAAGCAAGAAGTTGTCGGTGAGTTACGTTATTTCGTTTCTCAACTCGTTTCTCAACGACAGGAAATTGTAGTAGCTGTGATTGTTGACTCTTAAATAAATTCGTCGATTTATCTGTATCGATTAATTGAAAAATCCGATAAAATTTGGATCCATTTCTCAACAATTGTACCGGGAACGAGAACAATATTTGCTTTTTTTTTCTTTGTGCTTGATAACAACACCCAATACTGTTACTTGTTGCGTTTATACATGTGTTTAAAACCTTTTAGGTGTATAAAAAAAAAAAAAAAATGAAGGAGCTCATTTGTGAGTCAGATAATAAATAATAAGATAATAAGAGCTGGACAAACTGAGCCGATAAAATAAATGTTTCCAGAGCTTTCAATGATAAACAAGTTGATCAGAAAATTTTAAGTACTCTAAACAACGCGCAAACGACACTAAATCTCATATTCTCTCATTGCACAACTTGAGCTAAATTTACAATCAATGTGTACAAAGTATCAATCCTAAGATATAGATTTGGATGAAAAATAAAAAAAAATTATCTAAGAATTTTCATAGTTCATCTCGAGTCTTTCAAATATATGCGATAATTAAACATTTTCACACCTAACTCTTATTCGAGGAAACAAAAGAGTATATCATGATGAAGTAAGAGAAAGAAAAAGAAGCCAAGTTCCAACCAAGTTGTAAACGTGTGAAAAGAAAAATAGTGAGTAAACAAACGATACGTGGTAAAAAAAATTCAAAAGTTTTTATTGAAACGCTATGAGAAAGCACGAGATAAGAGTGAAAAAAAAAAACTTTCTGTGATGTTGTTTTGACAGCACGCTCAAGAAAATAAATAGATTTTAGGAGTGAGGGAGAAAATTCGTGCATATATAAAAATGTATATGATGAATTTCCACTCAAACTATCATTATTTTACTTATTGGTTTTTAAACATTTGATTTAAAAGTGACACTTTGTTAATATTCATGAATAATGTATTTTATCTCGAGTTCTCGCAAATCGGTGTGTCGATCTATACCTACGAACATATTATCGGTAAATTTTTATGTTTCATCTGTTTTTTTTTTTCTCGCGATAACTTTTTTGGGTACATGAGTTAAAATCAAGACCAGATATTTAATCTTTTTGTCCACCTACTACATATTTTCCTATTGAGAAATTTTTTTAAATAGCCGTTAAACATTAATATTGCAAAAATTTTATATCAATTCAAGAATCTTGTTATTATAGTTCCTTAACTGTAATATTATACTCCTTAAAAATGTCAGTGAGAGAACAAAAATTCAGATATTATTTACACATTTACTATTACATCATTAACGTGATAAATACATAAAAAAAAAAACATATAAAACTGTATGTATGAATGTTTAATCACACAAATGCATAGTATGACCATTGACTGGAAATTATATTCCTAAAAATTACAATTTACATATCGCGATTAAATCCTGAGATCTAGAAGAGTTTTAAAAAAGTACACCACGTGTAAGAAGCTTGCAGTTTTTCGTATCAAAATCACGATAATCTGATCACTCGTTGACCCAAATCGATTTTTTGGGGTAAAAAAATTTTATTTGCTACATTTCAAAGCTCGCACTTTGCACTGTCCACGATTGCAAGGACACTAAAAATAGTTCAAACTGTTAAAAATATAATCGTAGAACATGGTAGTAGAGTGCAAAGGAGTAAGTGAGTATATCTATTTGGTGACTAATGCCCACAATGCAGATGCACACCTACACATGTATCAGATAATGTTTGAAATAAAAGTAAATGAAGAAAAAAAAAAAAAAAAAAAAACATCCGGCCCGTCTTTTTGAGCACGCATACATGTTGATGTGTATAAGGACGTGAACACATTTATCATAGAAAGAGACTCGAGCTTCGACACAACGTGTATGACAATGACACGCGGATATATGTATATACACACAGATGCCGAATAGGCTCCGATTCTCGATGGAAAGAGAGGGAGTTATGGAGGAGATAGGCCGCTATGGCCAGTTGGACTTCGCGCTGCGGACAGAATCGTCCGGACGAGCCGAGCGAGTGGTAATAAGGTATACACTTATACGTGCATGGATAACTTATCCTCCACTGCATTGACTCGTCGTTGTTTTGTTTAGTTTTTATGTTTGTTGTTTGTTGTTGTTTTTTTTTTTTTTTTTTTTTTTTTTTTTTTTTTTTTTTTTTTTTTTTTNTTTTTTTTTTTTTTTTTTTTTTTTTTTTTTTTTTTTTTTTTTTTTTTTTTCTTACCGATGATTGTCGAAGCGTGACGATATTGTCGTCGAGGATTTTTTAAAATATTTGTATTTTCGCCGATTTGGAGTTTAGAGTGGGTTCATCATCTTCGAGAGGTCTCTCGAACCCTTTTCTCGAAGAAAAAGTGCCGTTTCGTTGTAGTTGAGAACCGAAAGCGCAGCTGGCTGATTGTGGAGTTTGAATTTTGCCGCGACGCACGCAAGCGCATGTTTTTCGAAGAACCGTTAATTTCGAGCCCTTCGCTGGTGAGTACTTGCAAAACTTTTTTTTTCTCTCGCGTTAATTTTGAGTAATGGCACTTTTGTTGATCTAAGATATAGGGTGCGCTTTAGTTTTACGGAAGGATATTCAAAGAAATTTGTAAATTCAAGCAGTCATTGCATATCGAATAATCGACTTGTGATCATTTGATACGCTACATATTGAAAATGTCACATAGATCATCACGGTATTTGTCACTTTTGCAATATTTTGTTCAATTGTCACTATGAGCCGCGTGGAATAGGGTAAATTTTTTTAACGCATAATTAGTCCGTCAACTCAATAAACTTTGTATGCAAGACCTGAATCACATGACTAGCATAAGATGTCTGATAAAAAAAAATACATACTACTAATAATATTATTATTATTAAAAACCCGATAAGAAAAAAAAAACAAAAAAAAAAACAAATAACTTTAATCGGTCACGTTGAAGGCAATACTAATAAATCCTTAGATCAATGTTTGACCTTATACTTATACGAATAAAGTAATAAAAAAAATATTTAAAAAAAAAGACGAGGCGGTATCGCGGGAAACGGAGTGCATCGACATCAAAACACTTGCTACAAATCCACAGTGGTTACATATACGGTGTAGGAATATTAATAGCAATTTAAGTTCCTACTTACTGTCATACGGTACCTATACATGCTTAGAGTGAAAACTAAGCTCATAGCAGATGTCTCAGTGGAATTTCACGTGGAAATTTGGCTTTGTAATTTGAACTGTATCCAAAAGACATTTTCGCTAAAAGCCGAAGTAAAACAAACCATCAAAGCCATCGTTGCGCGAAAGAGAGCCGCTATATAGCATAATTATATGCTTTTGCGCAGATTTCGTCTTCGTTCGTCAAACATTTGTGACATTATGGCGCTTGACAATGAATTCCCTCCCCCTCTCGCTTCATATTATTATTTATTTATTATTAATAGATTTAACATAAGTATTACAATTATCATCGGTTGTCCGTAACATTTCTGAAGTCTATTGATAAAAAGCGCTTTTATGCATACGATTTCCATTAGTGATTTATATGTATACATTGCTAATCTATATGATTGGCCGGTTTGAGGTTTCAATTACTTGATTACTTTTTACCACGAGCTCTGTCACGTCGAAATCTTATTGTTTCACAAATCACATTGCAAGTATATTTGAATGGCGGACATTCTATATTTGGTAATCAAAAGAGGTAAATTAAATCTTTCTCATATATAAGTATATGTATAATCTACGATCAAAATGCGTGAATCAATTATATTATTGATTTTAAAAATCTCCCTCCACGTGTAGTTTTCCGGGAAATTCCGAAGTGGGACCGAAAAGGAGAAAATGCGTCACTGAGCGATTATCTCCTTTCGTGATCAACAATATCGGTATCGGATTTGGGTTAGATCGTTATTTCGTGTGAATTTCTAAATAGCACGTACGAACATAAATTACATTGAGTGTTTATTTTTTAATATTACACTGCTCGATTGAAAATTGTTTGAAAGTATGTATATCAACAACTCATTGACTGATGTCTAATGACTTAATTATGTAGGTTACGTGTTTATTTCATTGTATGCTTATGATTATATACACAAGTATTTGGAACTTGACCAGGTACCAACAATATATCTTCGATTCTTTAGTAACCCAGACGTACATACATCTTTTTTTTTACAATATTTTTTTTTTCAAACGACTCGTTTAACAAAGGAGCTTCATGTTAGCGAGCGAGGACAATGATTAATTTATTTAGATCATGAATTAAAGAAAAACAAGAGGTTATGGAAAACCAAAACTGATGGTATTATAGCTAGAGTGAATCAGTACATGATTTAATCAGAAAAATTTATAATTAAATTTTTAGCCCCATTTTGATACTCATCACTGAAGGAAATAATCGTTCAGGGTCCCAATTCGATACTTATCATTAAAGAAGATAATTTTTTGTCTGCAATTTGACTCAGTATACTCATGGACGGTTTTTTTCCCCTCAACAATAGTTCCATCCATTTTATTTGTAAGGCTTCGAAGTGATAAAAAAGAAAAGTAAAATAGCGCGCAGCTATATACTTAACAGCGACATCAATCTCCATTCGCAGAGGAACATATGCCTTTAGCATTAAATAGCGATAAGACTCGTCGAACAGTGCGCTTTTTTTATCCATCATACCACGAAATTAAGTTTGCATTTAATGAACCAAAAACGCGTTTTTTTTTACTTATTAAGTTGTTTAATCTGCTCTAATGAGAAGTTTGCGCAAAAAACGGTTCGTATGCCTAGTAAATGGCTTAATGTGAATTTTTACGTAGGCTCTTTTTTTGCCTGGAATTACGACGATAACAGAGTGATAAACGAAAACAAAAAAAAAAAACAAAAAAAAAAACAAAAAAAAACGGAGTGAATTAATTGACAAAGGTATTTTCTGCAGAGGTACGCTTTCAAAATCTACGTAGCAAAGACTTCACTCTAAAAGGATTCGGTTGTATTACAGTGCAAGTGAAAGTAGTCGAGTCTCGGCAGGTTCGCTTTTTTGAAAATTACCGTCGTCGAATTTTCACGGACGTTCCACGGCATATAATTTTCGTGCCAATTCAGAATCGCAAAAAAACTTTCGTTTGGATCGTTTTTTTTTTTTTTTTTTTGTCCTTCTTCCGGATTTAACGACGTGATGTAACGCATTAATGTTTCGTTTTTTTTCGGCTGTAATGAAAAACAATTTTTTTTCAATTACGTCAATTTTCCGCGTCAACGTGCAGTTGCGTATTGCAAGCTAATCGAAGTATAAAAATTCAAACGAGTTTGGCAGAGAAAAACTTTTGAACGTCGAATACGTATTTTTCCATTGTTCTCGAGCCTGATCGATCACCGAATCAATCGGGCCGATTTTCGAATCTTTGTCCGTATCTTATCGAAAAATACATGTATATCATTCGTACGATTCGAAGAACGAAAAAATAAAAGGACAAACAAAATCAAAGTTTGATTATTTATTTTTCTGTATTAATTACCAACAATTACATTTTGGATTAAAACTAAAATGAAGATTTTTCAACTATTACTGATATTCTTGTAAATAACCGTTACACCAAAAAGCTTATACGTATACATAGTGGAATACGGAACTATTGCTATTTGGAAATAAACCTACACACACGAGGTTCCGCCTCAGGGCGATAAAGTACATGAAATATTCGAAGAGAGTGTGGTTTATAATAAAATACTTACTCATATTAATATATATTAGACTTATGACAAAGAAAATATATAAATAAATAAATTATTACGTTTATTAACTTGTACACACCACAGCTGTTTCGGTAAATTGGTATCTTTCTCGCAAACACACATACATACATACATACATACATACATACATACAAGAGGCTTACCAACACATTTGGCCTTAAACTGTTAATACGTACTATATAGATAAATACTTCGCCAGCAAAAAAGAAAAATCATCTTAATCTCACTGGCAATTGAGTAACAGATCTTAATTAATTGATTTCTACGGTTTCTGATTAATCTAATCCTTTTTCTCTCCGGCCGTGTTTATGATTAAATAAATTAAAAATAATTATAGGCAGAGGTATATGATTAAAAATTTTCCAAATAATATTAAAACAAAAAATATAATACAACAAAAAATATAAACAAAGAGTACTTGTTAAATGCACTCGGACAATGTTTGCATAAGCTCACAATAAAAAAACTGAGAACTGTGTATATATATATATTTTGCTCGTCACGCGGAAGAGCGTGATAAAAATTTTCCATTCGCATGTGATTCGAAATTAATGTTATATTTATACTTGGAGAAAAACTTTGCTCGATTAATGGTTTGCGCACTACACTTACATTACGTTCGTGAAAATATCGGAGCACTCATTGTATTTCCAAGAAATATAAAATTTTTTATTTTGGAGATTAGTGTATTTCTAATAAAAAATAAAGTTTTGACTGATTGTATTGAAACTTACATATACGTCGTATGTTCATCGTCAAAAATTAAATTTCAGCGTAGCAACACAAACATTTTTGCTTTGTCCTCTTTTTTTTTAATTTTCCCATGAAAATTTCCTTCTGTTCTGATCTGGTTCATTATCATATCTTCTCGACTCGTAGCGAGAGTAGAGTGAAAAATTGAGTTTTTCAATTCCTCTGTAGCAACAAAAACTGTGTCAAGAGGACAGCGTCATTATTATTTGGTACACTACGTGTTGACACCAAAATAAGTATAGTATACGTAAGATGCAATAAAACTTGTCTAGGCATATGATTTTCAGCCTCGAAAAGTATAAGGAAAAGTAACTTTTACTCGTCTTCTTTAAAAGATGCTAATTTATTCGTAATTCGCTACCTTTCATGAATCATGAAATTTCGAGAATACCTACGTGTCTTTTTCTTAGCACTTGACGAATAAGTTATTATATTTTCCACTGTCAAATTAGTTTCCGAGGAAAAATCGATCGCCCTTCCAGCAGCAAATGAACCGCAAAAACATTTAAAGTTCGTCCCTTGTAACAATGGTTTATTTTCTATGAAAATAAAAAAAGAAAGCCGCTCTTGCCATTTCAAAAATCAATGTTACAATCAACTGCCTATCGATTCAGAAAAAAAAATTCAACAATCACAGGAACCAACCGAGGGAGAGGATCAAATGTTTACTTTACTACTCAATCGAATACGAGGGGCCTATTTACGTACGTATTGGAATTAATAGGTTGCAACGACAAGTGAAGCCATATCCAATTGTCCCGTACGAGCTAAGAGAGATTGCACTCGATCGGCCATAGCACGCATCGTATCATGTATACATCCTCCCTTTCTTTTTTATCTCCGTACACTCGACAAATTCCACAATCGCTCCTCTCTGATCTTTTATTTTTTACAAACTCTCGTACTTGCTCTTATTTTTTTTTTTCTTCATATGGCTTAACTACATTTTATCTAGGCATGGAAAAAATATGTATTTTTCTCGTGTCA